GGGGCGGGGCGTCCGTGAGGGGCGGGAGAACGGCAGGAGGAGCGAGAGGTCCGTGAGGGGTCCGGGGAAGGCGGGTTTAGGAATCCGTGGAGGGTCTAAAGAAGGAGGAGTTGAGTCCACCAAGAGTCTAAGCAAGGCGGGCTCAGGGTCCGTGAGGGGTCCGGGGAAGGCGGCCTCGGGGGTCCGTGAGGGCAGGGAAGAAGGGCAGGAAGGAGCAGCTCCCTGAGGCGTCGCCGCCTGCCCGGGGTCGGTTGCAGCCCCTCAGGGCCGCCGCGGTCCGAACGGGGTGAAGCTGCTGAAGCCTTCCCCGCTCCGGTGGGTCCGTACATGTTAATCCCTTCCCATTGACGAGGGAGTGAGAATCCCCAGGCTTTTTACCTATTTACTGCAGTCTGTGTAACATATCGACGGAAAACCGAGGCACTGAGACCCTGTTGAGCACTGGGCCCTCAGCCTTTCCTAGATGAAGTTTGAACCTGAAGTATTTTTTTTCCTTATTGCCAACTTTTCTGCACCTAGTTTTTTCATTATACCACAGAATGGTATCTTTGCAAAAGATATTCATCTTTTCCCTCGAGGAAACCAGACAGATTAGCTGTGAGTACACTGGAGGGTCACCACCCCCCGCTTGGCTTGTTTGATCAGTTATATACAGGTAAAAGGGAACAGGATTTTTAAAAGTTGTCATTTGGAAGGGGATAAACAAATTGAGAGCTGCATCAGCAGGTTTTTAGCCCAGGATGAGCAGGCACTAGTCATAAAACCTGAACAGGGCAGCGGGGTTGAGTCAGCGAAGGAAAGAATCCCATAAAAGCTGGACAACAGGATGTTCTAAGATGGAACTAAACTGGTCTGTATGAGCAATTAGGACATAGTTTCATACACACTGCAAATAATCACATAGCAATAAAATTGATCCAAGCTTTGAAATGGGTATATGAGGCAGGTAGGATGCTTGGTCTCGCGTTTTTATGTACATTTTTAATGTATTGATCTAAATTTTTTTGAACAAAATGTTTTTGATGACTTAACTGAGGTGCTCAGAAAGGAAACAAAGAATTTTTTAAATAATTGGATCATAAGATATACTGTTGGTCTTTTTATAGAACATATGTATATTGTTACCTTTGATTTTTAGATTACACTTCATTTTGTGTTTACCTTCTTGGGATTTTTTTTTTTAAGAAAATTGAAGTGGTCTGAAACACCTTTGAATAAAACCCTTCAAGTGCTTCTCTGGGGAGCTCTGCTCTTGTCCTTCAACTCTATAATTCAAGTTCATATCTTTTTGGCAAAGGCTATCTTAATGTCTTTATTTGCCCCCACTTCCAGAACGCGTGACTGCTCCCTTCCTTTTTTCCACCACAAATTTCAAGGTCTTTAATTCGTGTTTTATGAAAGCGTGTGGGTTGCTTTGCACAGAAATGAAATCAGAATAAGCAGTTTTGTCACTGTAGTAGCTTCTCTCAGCCCTAAGATCTCCAGAGCATCCTCAAACAAGTTCTTCGTGGCATTACCTGCTTCCAGACCAGCAATTTGAAGTAGGAAGGCAGCAATAAAAAAAAATCACTCTGCTGATAAAAACTCTTCTATTTTTATCAGGAAGGGCTTCCTAACAGCAGCCTCATTAAGGAGTTATTACACTTCCAGTCATGCAGGTTTCTAAGGCTGCCTTTTTCTGATTTCTCCTTGGAGCCTCTCTCTGTACCAACAGAGTTAAGGTCATCGTTGCCTTTCTGCATTGCTTCTCCCACACCTTTCACTGGAAGGCACAGCTTGAAAGCTGTGGGGTTTGAGAAGATCTTCACAATTTAACACTTAAAACGTTCACGAGTTAAATGTAGATACAGCACGTTGCAGAAGCGCCATCCAGTGGAGCAGAAAACTCCATGTGGCTGCTGCTGTATTTCATTGATAGATGTGAGCAGGGCTGCTGCCTGGGTTTGTTATTTCTATTCGAATAACGCTGTAACAGCAAGTTTATTTTCAAATAAATGAAAAGCTACTCAGTTCCAGAAGGAAGACACTGTCAGGATCCATAGAATAAACACCAGGCGTTTTACTGGTCCCCACGTTTCCTTAACTGTGTAAAGACCATTAGTTCTTTTCTTCTTATTATTTTGGAAACCAGCTCACACTTACACAGGCCTTTAGTAATTATGGGAAGGTCAATCTAACTAAAACCTTTGTAGGCTTCAACAGATTTTGTTTGACTTTGGTGGTGGCTTTAAACTTTCTCAACTGATAGGAAGTATCAGGAAGGTGGTGCTACTCATGTTTCAAAATGTCAAGGATTATTTTTTCATGTAAAGTAATTAAGTTGCTAAGCTAATGCTAGAGTTAAAACTCCTTTTCCACTCCTGATACACTGTTAATGCTACCAGCAACGTGCACCAACTCACTTCACTTGTAACTGCCAAGTTGAACTCACCACTTCCCTGTGATCACACGAGGCGGAATAAAACCTGCTGCTCCATGACCTTCTGTAATATTGCACAAAGAAAAACGTTTAACCTCATTGAACAGCTGGATGCAAAATAATGTGAACTAAAGGAGCATCGTTTTCACTCTGTGTATGTGCTTATAGAGTTCACTTATTTTGCAGACTGGAGTCTCCCTGGATTACTCAGACCCGTCTTCATTGTTCTGGGATTTGACCCCAGGCTGGTTTCCTCTGCCAAACTCAGCTGTGGAGAAGGAAGCAGCTATGGCACAGTGTGGGACCTCACACTACACATGCAAGATACAGGCAAGTGAGTTAACTACTGCTCTGCATCTTAAAGAGAAACATTTTGAACAATAAATCTGTATTCTTTGTTGTTTGCTTCATTGTTTATCTTCCCTACCATCATTACCCCCATTTTGTTTGATGTTGACATGCCCCTTTAGAATTGGGATTCTTTAGAATTCTTGTTTTAATGCAGACTCTTAGTTAACCAGAGACCCAGGCCACATCACCTGGGTTGGACTTTTTCCTACAGAAACACATTCAAACTAAGGTACTTGAGATTAGTTTGGTTTGGGGCATTTATTAGCAAAAATCAGATTTTTGACACTGGCAACAGCACACTTATTTCCTGAGCCAGAAACCATTCAGGTTAATAGGTACAAGGGATCCCATCTTGGCTGTAGAATCGTCCCTGGATATGAAGTGTGGCTTCCTGGGTAGAGTTGTCTCTGCAGGGAGGAGCCAGGACAACACCCAGATTCAAGCTCTCTTGAAGACCTGTCTGCACACTTGGTTCTCACAACGAAGCTCCTATCAAAAAAAAACACCAAGAAACAAGAGTATAGATGTGTATAGTAATCAAAGGAGCTGCTTCCCAAAATGAACATAAATTCTTTGACCCCAGTCTGGCCATGTATAATAACTTATGCTTGACATTACAGTGAAGTTATTTCAAAGCAGAATGTGCTTGCCATGTATCATCCATTACAAATACTACAGAGCTAGAAGACTTGTGCACACCATGGCCACATTATAGATCTTGTTTTGGTCATATAGAGACAGAATTAGTAGGAATTTGAAGTCAATACCAGGTGGAGGTCATCTCCTTCAAGCCAGTGAGTCCAGCCCCTGTTCTTCTTTTCACCAGTCTGGACACAGACAAGTTTGTCATTTTCCCAGGTAACCAGGCTCTGTGGAACAGGAAACAAAAAAGTGTTTCTGCATGTCTGTCTCAGTTTTGCAAAATACTCATAGACAATGTCTATTTTCCTTCATAAAAGAGGACCTAAATACTACTCCTGAGTGAAACTCCTTGTCTGTAACTCAGGCTCCTCTGTGTGGCATTACAAAGACTATTTTTTAAACAATTTCAGCTCAAGTATCTGGATTGATCATGGCATCTTAATTTTGTAACAGCCTCTTGATTTTATATATGCATTCTTACCTTGCATTTTCTGTTATCCAAGCCTTTATTATCCTCTTCAAACTCTTGTCCCACTTTGAACTCCAGCAAATAATCTCTGAATGTGCTGGTGGTGTGGATATGGAAGGAATCACCATCTTGTTTGATCACCTTCTGAGGCTTCAGCACTTTGGCTATTTTGCGTGTTGCAAAGTCAATACCTTGGACAGGAAGCAAAAAGGTCAGAGTTGTATTTCTTACCAGCCATTTGGACAGCCAGCACTTAACCTGATTTACTACTAGAGGCATCTCTTAGGTAGTTTTGTTCCTTGGTCAGAACCTTTTGTTTTCTTCAAAGCTGCACATTACACAGATTCAGTTGTCCTCTTGTACATTTTACTCTTTGGAAACCAGTGTACTTGTTGCCCAATTCCTATGCAAGATTTGTAGGACTTTGGGTCAAAATACTCCTTTAGGAGTTGGTTTGCCACACACAAACACCTCAAGCTTGATCTCAGACTTACCCCTTACTTACTTAGAGGAAATAGTTAGTGCCTATTCTCATCCTTTGTTGGAGGAAAGGAAATGTAAGAGTTAACAAGAACTCTCTGCACCCTCTACCTTAAATAGGACAAAATGAAGAGCAGTCCCAAAATGAATTCCTCAGGCTTGTTTTCAGGACATATCACTTGCTATTAGCACTTTTTAAGTACAAATATAAACCATCACACTTGTCAAAAGATTTCCTGGTTGTCTGTAATGATCAGTCAGTGACAAAATCCTGATGTTCCTGGTAACACTGAGCTCCAGGCAGTGCCTCTAGAGTCTTTTCCATTTCTCCAGTGAATGTTTCCTTAGAGGAACAGGCAGGCAGTTGAAGCACATTACATCCCAATAGCATGCTTAGAGTTAGGGTTTCTGGCAGGGGCATGGGTAAAATGGGGGCTGTGCATTAATTAATTTAGTTGCTTTTGCCACCTAGATTAAAACTATCATTTTATAGGAACACTAGAAGTTTCTCCCTTCATGCAGGCTGGGGTTGTGATCCTGCCAGGGTGTGTTCAGCGACCATGTGTTGGACCATATGGCCCTGGATTCAGTCTGTGCCACTCTGGGCATTCCAGAT